CCCTGTGTGCTTAATTACTTCAGCATTAAAATAAGTCTTGGTATCCTGAGGTTTAAATCCTCCAACTCTCTGCTCTTTCTTTAGAGTTATTTTAGCTATTCTTGGTCTCTGCACTTCCATCCAACTTTTAGAATCAACTTATCAATTCCCACTCACACCCACATCCACCCCACTCCTACTGGGATTTTACTGTAACTAGAGATTAATGTTGGAAGAATTGACATTTTAAAAATAGTGAGTCCTGGGCTTCCCTGGTGGCGCAGCAGTTGAGAGTCCACCTGCCGATGCAGGGGACACGGGTTCGTGCCCCGGTCCGGGAAGATCCCACATGCCGCAGAGCGGCTGGGCCCGTGAGCCATGGCCGCTGAGCCTGCGCGTCCGGAGCCTGTTGCTCCACAATGGGAGAGGCCACAACAGTGAGAGGCCCGCGTACCGCAAAAAAAATAAATAAATAAGTAAAAATACTGAGTCCTTTAATACATGAACATGAGCTTTCCTGACATTTTAAAGGTCTTCTTTAATGTCTCTTAATATTGTATCATTTTCTGTGTAAAAGACTAGCACATTTTTTTTATTTTTTAATTTTTTTTAGCACATTTTTAATAGACTTATTCCTAGCTATTTAATGTCTCCTAACACTACTGTATATGGTTTCATTAAAAATTTTTCATTTTAAATTGTTTGTTGCTGTTATATGCAAATATTAAAAATAATTTAAATACTGACCGTATATCTCACACCCCTACTAAATTTATATTCTAATAGTTTGTCTGTAGATTCTTTTGGATATTGTCATTCACAATCACGTTCTCTGTGAAATGTGAAAAATGACAGTTTTGTTTCTTCCATTCTAATCTGTGTACCTTTTATTTCTTTAAAACTTTCTTTTATTTTTTGTCTTATTGTTCTGGCTAGGACTTCAAGGGCAATGTGGGATAGAAATGGTGACAGCAGACATCCCTGTCTTGTTCCTAATGTCAAGAGAAAATCTTTCTATATTTGACCATTAAGTGTGATGTTTATGGCAATATTGTTTTTCATTAACTGATTCATTTCTTTCATGAGCTGGCTCGGTCTCCCCATCTCCAGGACCCTGGCGACCCTGCCAATGCTTGTAAACCCCTGTGGAGAATGGCTGTGCCTGTCTCTTTGTGTGGCACAAAGGGAGGACCCTTTTGACTGGGTGACAGAAGAGGCTTCAAGCTCTCAGTGGGAAGGATGGCCTCATAAAAATCAAGACGGGCCAGAGCTTAATGAGACAGAGAAAAGTGAGCAGTTGGGTAGTTAAGAGATTCAAAAAGGTCTTTAGGGACTTCCCTGGTGGCGCAGTGGTTAAGAATCCACCTGCCAACGCAGGGGGACATGCGTTCGAGCCCTGGTCCGGGAAGATCCCACCTGCCGCAGAGCAACTAAGCTCGTGCTCCACAACTACTGAGCCCGCGTGCCACAACTTGCCACAGCTACTGAAGCCCGTGCGCCTAGAGCCCGTGCTCCGCAACAAAGAGAAGCCACCGAAATGAGAAGCCCATGCACCGCAACGAAGAGTAGCCCCCGCTCGCCACAGCTAGAGAAAACCCGCGTGCAGCAACGAAGACCCAACGCAGCCAAAAATAAATAAATAAATGAATGAATGAATAGAAAGAAATGTAGATGTTAAAAAAAAAAATCACGTTATTTAAAAACTAACTAAATAAGTAAATTTATTAAAAAAAAAGTCAATATGGTCAAAATGTGGTAATATGTGTGATGGAATACTGTTCAGCCTTAAAAAGAAGGAAATTCTGAAGCATACTAACATGAATAAACCCTGAAAGTGCGCTGAGTGAAATAAGCCAGACACAAATGGACAGATACTGTATGATTCCACTTTATAGGAGGCCCCTCGAGCAGTCATATTCAGAGCGCTAGAAAGGAGAAGGGTGGCTGCCAGCAGCCGGGGCAGGAGGGGTGGGGAGCTGGCGTTTAATGGGAAGGGAGTTTCAGTTTGGGATGATGTGAAAGGTCTGGAAGCGGATGGTGGACGTTTGCACAACAATGTGAATATACTTAATACTAGGAACTGTACACTTAAAATGGTTAAAATGTTAAATTTTATGTTATGTATGTTTTACCACAATAAAAAAAGTCAATATGGTATATAAAGATAATTCAAAGGAAAATATTTATGGATCTAAAATATTCTGAGCAATATAGTTCATGTCTGTATTTCAAAGTCATGAACTATATTGCTCAAAATATTTTATTTTATTTTTATTTTTTTAAGAATTTTTAAAAAATATTTACTTATTTATTTGGTTGCGCTGGGTCTCAGTTGCAGCAGGTGGGCTCCTTAGTTGAGGCATGCAAACTCTTAGTTGTGGCATGCATGTGGGGTCTAGTTCCCTGACCAGGGATCAAACCCGGGCCCCCTGCATCGGGAGCGCAGAGTCTTAACCACTGCGCCACCAGGGAAGTCCCCTCAAAATATTTTAGATCCACAATACAACAGATCTAGAAGGAGGTGTGTGGAGAGTCTGATTCAGGGCTCTTATTTAAACATGAGGAAACTGAGTCCAGAGCAAGGAAGCAACTGCTCATGATCACAGGGACCATTAAAAGCAGAGCGGGGACCGGGCCCCAAGCTTTAGGGTCCTTTTCCCAACACTACAATGTGCTTCCTCCTCTCTGGTAAGCAGTTTGTGCAAATGGATTCCTTTTTTTTTTTTTTTTTTAAAAAAATTTTCCTTTTTTTTTTTTGGCTGCGTTGGGTCTTCGTTGCTGCGCGCAGGCTTTCTCTAGTTGCGGCGAGTGGGGGCTACTCTTCGTTGCGGTGCGCGGGCTTCTCATTGCAGTGGCTTCTCTTGTTGCGGAGCACGGGCTCTAGGCACGTGGGCCTCAGTAGTTGTGGCATGTGGGCTCAGCAGTTGTGGTTCGTGGGCTCTAGAGCGCAGGCTCAGCAGTTGTGGCTCACGGGCTTAGCTGCTCCGCGACGTATGAGATCTTCCCAGACCAGGGCCCGAACCTGTGTCCCCTGCACTGGCAGGCAGATTCTTAACCACTGCGCCACCAGGGAAGTCCCTGGATTCCTTTTCTACTGTGTGCTCGGTCATAGATACTGTGGCCAAAAGACTAATTAATGACCCTGCAAATCCCACAAGACTCTCTGAAAATCACAAACTAGCAAGAAGCATTACAAATACTGGTATGGTTCAGTTCCACGTGCCCTTGCAATTGCTCAAGTGGACTCTGGGGCCCAAAGAGAAATAATTTACTTTATACAGTAATCAGGAAGAGAATCAAGAGCAGGAAAATGTCTCCTTTCCTATTTTTGGCACAAGTATTAAAATGTAGTCTAAATTTAGGATCTAGTACTTCTGTGGCAAAGCAGAGGCATCTGAGATTAGGCCTCAGTCTTTGCTTTGACTCTCACAGCTTTCGTTAAAGTTTGGATTACAGCCGCTGCAAGACTTGCAGCAGAATCTGTTTTTTTTGTTTTTCTTTTTCCGGTACGCGGGCCTCTCACTGTTGTGGCCTCTCCCGTTGTGGAGCACAGGCTCAGCGGCCATGGCTCACGGGCCCAGCCGCTCTGCGGCATGGGGGATCTTCCCGGACTGGGGCACGAACCCGCGTCCCCTGCATCGGCAGGCGGACTCTCAACCACTGCGTCACCAGGGAAGCCCCAGAATCTGTTCTAATCTGTGAACTTCTCTTTGTTAACTTCTTGGTTCCTATGGTTTTGCTGCCTGATTGATCACGCCTCCAGCTCCATGACTGCTTGGGTTTCTAAGGCCAGATACTCAGGGCAAGGACGGACCCAAGCTAAACCTGAACTTCACGTGGGAATCCTCCAAGGGCCACATTGCTTTTAGTTCTCACCCACGGCCTCCCCCAGGCTGGGCCTGTTGAGATCTATGCTCTCCTGTCACCCACTCCTATTTGTCTGGGGTCTGAGAAAGTAAAACACCAGTTTCACAGATGGTTTTCTCATTCGCATCTCAAAGCAGAAGTAAATACTGGCCAAATTGATATATTTCTGAAGGTGCGGGCTTTGAAGTCTGAGCTGATTATTTTAACATTCTTTTAAAGAAGAGAAAATCTGAGGAAAATAGATATGACATTGGGTTCATGTGACAATATGAAAATACCATGCTACTGGACACTAAGTGAGCTTGTAAGGCCTGGGCAGAGCTGCAAACTCATGGAAACATGCTCCCAATGAGTCAACTTTGTGTTCCAGTGGCTTCATCAAGTCTAGAGACAGAAACCTAGTAACTGAGAATCTAAAGCTTCTCTCAGACACACAGAGAGCAATCACTCCGCGTCCTCTCCTATCACACACAAAAGTGAACAGAGTGGATTCCCGATAAACATGAGTTAATGAAACTGGGCGTGCTGGGGCATTATTCTGCTGTTTCCCGAGGACAGAATTCGTTCTGTGCTTATGACATGCAAGAGGTAAGAATTTCCAAACACTGAAATTCTACACTCAGACACAGTCGGTCAGTGTCTGAACCCACGCAACCTCCCAGGAAGTTTGCTGAGACAGTACTTCTGACTCTGCTAAGCTGGTCAGCCAGACAGCCCGCGGCAAGCATCAACTAGATGTTTCTATGTGGGGAGATGGGCACTGACAGTGGAAACAAACTATCAGTAGTAACAGCTGGCATTTGCTGAGGGCTTCTCATATGCCTGACATCGGGTCAAGCACTTCAGTGCATTATCTTGTTTAATCTTCACAACTACCCTGTGAGGCGCTGCTGTGAGTATCCCCATTTTATAGCCGAAGAAACTAAAGCCCTGGAAGGTTAAGCAACTTGTCTAAGGACAAACACCTTAGGAGGTGCTCAATGAAAATGTTTTCAATAAATGGATGAATAATTTAAGCTGCCAGGTCATCATTCTGTCCTCAAACAGGGAAATCAGTGATTTTACTTCTCCACAGCAGCTCTGTACTAGGAAGTTACACAGTTTGATCTACGACAAAAGCCATAAGGAACAGTCCTATTCCAGTTCCGTCTTACCTGTTCTGCTCCCACCATGCTAATTGGCTTGCACTTGAAGAGGTGGGTGATGAACTTGGGAATGAAGGAGCTGTGGATAAAAAAGAAGTGACAAATTAGGCTTATATTCTCTTTGGTAAAGAACTGCAGAAACATTTTTTCTTTTTTTAAGGCCCCACTTCCTTCTACAAGAAAGCTGAGAATTAAAGTAGACAGTACTGTGGCCTACAAGCATCCACTCTTTTTCTTTCTAACTATAGCCCTGGTTTTATTTAGGTAAATCTGGCCTTGGGATGCTGGGGAAAAGCTGATCCCTCCTAAACTACAGGGGTGAATTCTAATCAGCCTCAGACAGGCAGAGCCTGGGGTCCCTTGGTGACTGTCGTTGGTGCTGACGTGGCTTGTGATCCAAGCCAGCTGGAGGGAAGGACTTCATTGCACGGCTGGGGCAAGTCTCTCTTCTTCTTTAGGGTATTCGTGTGTTTGGATTTAACATCTAGAGCTAACATTTTACCACTGTTCTAAGGATGAAGCCAGGCCCAAGGAGAGGAGGGTAAGTAAAGAAGCTGGGTCCTTAATGACATTGCTGAACCACTGAGGCAATCATCTTTGGATATGTCCTATCTCTGGACTTTGGTTATATGAAATAAAAAAATTCACCTCTGTTTAGGTCAGTCTGAGTCAGGGCTTCTATGACTAGTAGCTGAAAACATCCTAATAGATAAAGATAGTCGAATATACGTGAGGTAGTTATGCGATCTTAAATGCAAAAAAATAGGAAATAAATGCTAAGGGAGTAACTGTCAGATCAGGGAACAAAATACATGATCTCCAAAAAGTTTACTGGGGACTGAAGGGCAACCTGGGCCAGGTAGATTGATGATGCTGGTTTGGGGAAAGGGAGAATGTGATTTTAATAGGTCAGGAGGGCTTTTTAGAAAAGAAACTGCAGAGGCCTGTGTAGGGAAGGCTGAGTTGTACTGGTGCAGAACAGAAGACGTGGGAACCAGAAATGCCTATAATCAGGCCAGATTCAGAGTGAGCTGACCAGAAGAACACAGGGCCCACGACGAAGGGAGGACCATGGCAATAAAGGACTTGGAGGTCGAGGTGAAGCCTGGCCAGTCTCTCCCTCTCCTCACTCTTCCAATGCTGCTCTCAGGCTTGCGCTCGCCACGCTCTGCTCTCTCCACATCTTTTCCAGAATGCGTGTGCCCACTCTGCTATCCAGTGGCCTACTGGACATCCCACTGGCATGGCACCAGTACCTCGACCCCAGCATATCCAAGACTCAGCCCCACCCCAAAACCAGGCTCAGGGGACTGGATCTCCTCTGCCCAGTCATCCAAGTCAGAAACCGTACCCTTGCCCTCAACTCCACTATCCAATCAGTTCCCAGCTCTTCCCTGAATGCCCACACCCACCCCTCCTGACCATCCCCCTGCCGCTGCCCTTCTCTTTCTCACTAGAGCTCTTTCAGTTGTTTCCTAACTGGTCTCCTAGCCTTCGGCCTTATCATTTCTAATCCATCAGCTGCCAAAGAGATTTATCAATATTTCAGATGCAAATATGATCAAGACGCTCCCTTGATTACAATTCTTGCAATGGCTGCAGACAGGCCTTCCTTCACTGTCTTGACTCTCTCTCCCCAGCCCCATCTTGCTAAGCCCTGGTGCGCTGTGCTTCAAGCGGGCTGGGCCACTTGCAGATTCTACGACTCTGTAGAGGCTGTTTGATGCCTCTGTGCACTTGTTCACGCTGCTCCCTCTGCCTGGAACGCCCTTCCCCACGGCCTTGCAGGGCAGTGCACGCACGTCTCCCGGACTCTGTTCAAGGCCAGCTTTCCTATGAAGTCTTTCCTCAGTCACCTCCACCATACCCTGCAGAGTTCACAGACCTCTAGCCTAATACGTAACCTACTCTGTTACACTTATTTGCTTACACGTCTACTTCCCTCCACTTGACCGTAAGGCAAATGCAGATAGGGACCACGTCTACTAAGCCAAAGCACTTAACTCTGCATCTGGAACACAGCAGGCGCTCAACTGACTGCACGCTGAATAAATAATAAATAACAATGGTAACAGCTAACACTTTTTAAATGTCAGCATGGTACCAGCACTTTACCAGGACGTTTTTAACACTTCTGATTTTATCCCTCCAACCACTAGTAAGAGATCTATCATCTCCATGACTGAATGGAGGAGAATCAGCTGAGTGGATGAGGGAAGTCGCTTATGGTTCAAACAGTAGTTTCAATCAGCGGGGTGATCCTGATGTCTAAACGGGAGAGACTGTGGTTGCTTCAGAGACCCAGTGGAGGCAAAAGGAAACATCTAAGGCTTTGCATTAGTGAGATGAGAAGGGAAGTTAAAAGGAAAGAGATGTCAGCTCCAGATATCACATCTACGGGAATGCCTGCCGATTGATCAGGAGGGAGTGAGGACAAGGGCCTATGTGGAAGGGACCCTTCGGGCTCTAAACCAGAGCCAAGTAGTGTGAGATTGCATTATGACTAATGGCAATGACGCACACAGTTTATAACCTAAACTACTTCACACTAGAGTAGGCTTTGATCGTGCCCTTGAACTGGCTCTGTGTGCTAGACTGTAGGGGTGGGGTGCGGAAGATACAGGGACCAGGGACATGTCTTTGTGGGAAGAGTTCCAGCGTAACTGCCAGAGGCTCCTCCAGGCCGTTGCAGGGGCGGCAGTTATCGTTCTTGGCTGGAGGAGGGTTTTCTCACAGCCCCCATCTGAGGGTTCTGGCCTTCAGCTGGGAGTTTATAATGATGAGAGGGTACCGGGGATTAAATGAGAAACCCACTTTTTAGATCACAGGTTAAACTTTTCCAGATGTGAGAGGTGGGCATCCTCTTCCCAGCTCACCCAATATGGGCTTAGTAATGAAAGCAAAGGGCTGTGAGAGAATGTGAGGCGGATGCCGGGACTAGGTAAGTAAGTGGATCCCTGACTCACTTTAACATTAGCTCTGTCAGACCCCTGTGCATCGCACTGGAGGTTCTTGGCCACGGCCAATTTTTATAGAGACGCTGTTTCTACCCGGGGTTACGGGGAGTGTCACAGTGTGATTTATCAGCAATGCTTTCAACACGCGCTAAGGAGCACCCAGAGAGTGGAGGGGTGTCAGCTCCTGGCCCACCCGCCGCCCGCACATGTCAATGCCTCCCGGGAGAGGCCACACGAGCCTTGCCTGACAAGCTGGGAAGTGAAGCTTAAGCCACAAGCCACTCCATAACTGTTGCTCCTTAGGGATTCGTTTGTGAGGGAAAGCCTTAATTGAATACAAATTGGGAGAGATCTGGGGAAGACAGAAACTTGGAGCCCTAAATCACCCTTTGGGACTTGGATGAGAACAACCTAAATTCAGTAGCTGGGACTGGGCCCATCTTCCTGAGGCCCTCGCCTGCGAAGTCTGCCAAAATGCTTGTTTGATACTTGGTCAGAGGAGGTACTGACCCTCCATGGTGTCCGGTCTCCAGAGAAACAGTGCTATAGCCAGATGCTGACTGTCAAGGGACCAAACCATTTCCCCTCTTTAAAACAAGGCAGAAATGGCCACACAGGAGGACGTGGCAGGAAGACACGCAGCGCAGTGTCCACTCCACCTACTTGGCAATGGACTGGCTCCCTGACTTGCTCTCCCCGATTTCTAGTACCTTCCCTGGGCTCATGCATGTCCACAAGTGGATATATTCCAGCAGCCACAGTAACGAGCGCTATGAGGAAGGAGTAAGACAAGGCTCAAAAGAAACAGCTCATGGTTCCTACCCTTAAAAAGCTTATCATCTAGCTGGAGACACAAAATACATACATGAAATGTTGAAAAATAATTTTCATTACCCAAACCTGGGGGGAGGCAGGGGTGTCATTATGTCCACGTAATTCAAATGACAGGAGCTCCCCACTCACTTCTGTCTGTCTTAATGAGGATGACTGTATGGCTACTACTGTTCTTTATGACTTTAAGTAGCAAATTTAGTTTATTATGCTTCTCTGGGGTACAAAAAAATTAGTTGGACGGCGTGGACACCTGGATCGGGCGCATGCTGGTGGTCAGCATGGCATTCAGAACAACCCAGTGGTGAGGATGTTCCAGGACTTACTTTGCAAATTTAATGCAGAACTGTGTGAAGTATTTCCGCGTGGAAGCCAGGTTGTCACGGATGATGGGGACGTTCTGTTTAATGTGAAGAATGACAGAGGTGACGTAGGGGCTCTGGTCTCCAACATGCTCCACATTCTGCCACTGCATCTGAAAACGGAGACAGGGCGGGACAAGCCTTTAGATCCTCTGCTGGAGGATAGGCTTGCCTCTTAGCAAGGAAGGGGCAGGGGTGGTGGAAATGAGCCCGTGACTTGCTGTCACAGAGGCTGATTTGTCTTGGGGTGGTTTGTCTCTCCCTGTCTACAGGAGCTAATCATGAATAGAAACAAGTAAGCCCACCTTTTCCCTGACAGTGAAGTGTACCTTTTCCTACCCTGTCCCTCTCAGGCTTGAAACAGCCTTCCCTCCTCATCTAAGTGCCATCTTCTTTCTAAACGAACCCTCACCAGGCAGATGAACTGGATCGTATTCTTCTACGAGCTGCTCCACCTGAAAGGGGCTGTGGGTGGACAGGGGAGGGACGTCTACTTCTGACCAGGCTGGCAGCTTGGGAAACCCGAGAGGTGGCTGGGCCACACGAAAGGAAACCTGGAATGCCCTTTTTTTTTTTTTTTTTTTGCCGTACCCTGCAGCATGTGGGACCTTAGTTCCTCGACCAGGGATTGAACCCGCACCCCCTGCATTGGAAGGCTGAGTCTTAACCACTGGACCGCCAGGGAAGTCCCAAATTGGAGATTTTTTTTTTTTTTTTAAAAAAGGAAATTAGAAACAATATGACCTGTGAGACTTGCTTCAAAATAATCTAGTGCTGGGAGGAGCAGATGAAATAAGATTAGTGAAGCTGGGTGATGGGTACATGAGGTTCATTATGCTGTTTTCTCTATTTTTTCTGAAGTATAGTTGCTGTACAATACAGGTGTATTGTACAGGTGTATAATACAGTTACAGGTGTACAATATAGCAACTCACAACTTTTAAAAAGTATAGTTGATTTACAATGTTGTGTTGGTTTCTGAGTGACTCACAGTTTTGAAAGGTGATGCTCCATTTATAGTTATTATAAAATATTGGCTATATCCCCTGTGTTGTACATTATATCCTTGTAGCTTATTTTCTCTGCTTTTTGGTGGCTTATTTCTTCTACTTTTCTATTTTCTCTACTTTTGTATATAACTGAAAATTTCCATAATCAAACATTAGACTCTTACTCCTAGAGCCTTTGGGGTTATGTGGGATTTCAATCAAGGGGAAGGAAAGAGGATCTCTGGCAAACACGAGGGGCAGGTCATAGGTTAAGACAGTGCCATGGGGAACAGGGCAGGGACTGTGTAGATGGCAGGTGCGGGGGAGATGGGCATCACTGAGAAGCCCTGTGTGACCCCTGACCAGGCCATGAACAAAAACGAGAGACCTGCTGGGCTTAAGTTCTCACAACCTGAGGAGAACTAGGGAAAATGCTCTGAAAGCATGTACAGTAAAAGGGAGAAAGAAGCAGTGGTGTGATACTGCTTCCGCCTCGGATACACATGGGAGAAGGGAGGTCTTACCAGCTCCCAGCCTGCCCCGCGCTGGGGCTCTGCTGAGTCAGCCTCTCAGAACGGAGCCGGGCTGTCTGATAAAAAGACCCTAAGCCAAACACAAACCATGTAACACGTTCATAGAACGAGGGCAGTAGTTCTGAGGCCTTGATGTCTCTGGCAAGAAAATACTATTTTTATAGAGCTCTTGGGGAAAGGAAAAATTCAATCCTGAGAGAACTTGTTTAAAAGAATCATATTGTACATGGATGATCCCCCAGCTCCTGGGAAGCTCAAATGACTCTATGTTTTACCCTAATGTTTCTTCAAGTCAGCAGATACTTATATCCTGAAAGCTTTCAGTCTGTGCAAGGACAGAACCATGGCAAAGCAGGAAGGCACCTCCGTCTTCATTTTACAGATAAGAAAACCAAGGTCCAGGCACATGAAGTCTTACGCAAGCTTTCGTAGCGAGGCTCCAGAAAGAAAAGGGTCTCTAATTCTTTTACTGGGAAAAAAATAAAAATGAAGAATGGAGAGATGGTAGAAAAGTCTAATATGAACTGACTTTATATTCTAATTCTTTGGCTATGTGTAATGTTTTCCTCTTTTTCTTCTATTTTATTCAAGAGGCTTCTTTTTCCATCTGATTTGAGAGATGTGACCTATCCAAACAAGGAACATCCTAGGGGGTTTTAAATGAGCGCACAGGGTTGAGGCCAGAACTGGCAGGTGCTGTTAGCACCTACGCTTCATCTCCTGCTCCCAGCTCGGCAGCGGCTCGGGAGCACAGGTCCCGGGATGGCACAGTCAACTGGGTAGAGAGCGGGACGCACCACCCCTCCACCCGACGCAAAGCTCGTCCATAGTAATGACCACTGTTTTCCAAGTCGGCAGCAGTTTAGGTTTCAACAGCTCAAAAAGTTCATAAACAATTATCTACGCACAACGGTTCTCCATCGACAGAAGACAACCACAGAGGGAGGTGGTGACATGTCCTGTCATCGGTTCCAAAGCAGCTCCGGGGCAAGACGGAGTGTGCGGCGTGGGAGTTCAAGTTCCCGCTGGAGAGCTATCTCCTCTTGATCACCACTGGCCACGTCAATACGTGCCCACATTGGGAATCGGTGTGAAAAGACTGGATTTGCCTTAATACTTAAGCCAGTTAGGACTCCACCAGTCAAGTTAAAGGAAGTATTGGCAAAAGGCAAGTAGATTCCCAAGTTTAAATTTAAGTCAGCTTTATGAAGTAAGAAAAGAATTTAAAGTACTGGAAAACAATGAAAGTTGACATTGCTCGGACTATTTTCTAAAAAATGAACAAAATATCGTCTGCGGTGATGCTGTCCAGCCACTGCCTAGGATGGATGCTTTGCCATCACCCATCCCAATGACTTAGGGTTTGGGTTGTAACTCGAATGACCCAATATACCTACATCAGGGCCTACCGTGTGCAGGCTGCTTGGCCCGGCACTTTGCAAACATCATCTCATTACTATTCAGACGTCATCTTCCTCACAGCGGTCTTATTGACGAGGAGACTCAAAAAGCTCAAAGAGGAGAGGTCACCTGCCCGAAGTCACACAGCTAGTCAACAGCAGAGTGGAGGCAGCCCAGCTCCATCTAAAGCCCAAGCACTATACGAGGCCACTTCCTAGACACTTGTTAACAAATGATTTAAAACAAAGAAAACAAAGAACAAAGCACTCAACTGGCCCTAGTTCAAGGGGAGCCTAGTTTCTCACGGAGAAGCTAATGAAATACACAGGGATCAAGCAAAGTTCTCTTTCAAAAAGGGACACAAACAGTAGCTTGCACTGGAAGAACAAACATCCTGAAAAGCCATCAGTCGAAGTAAGACTCCAACTTTTTCAGATGAACTTTGCATCTGACCTTTAAAATTTACCCCTCCACACTTCAAGTTTTTCCTTCTGCACTTTTTGTTTAGAAGGTGGGGTGGGGTTGAATACCACTGGTGCTATATAAACAAGAAAAACAGTTTGCAAAAGAAGCGGTAACTAAGATGTAAGGGTGACAGAAACAGCAAGCAAGGAAAGGATCAAGATGACAATGCCAGAGCCTGTGGGACCCCACACTTGGCCTGAGGGAGAGGTTGTGAGGCCCGGGGCGTCGCCAGCGCCCGTGGTTTCTGCCACCTGGGGAGGAGTGTGTGGCTGCACCTCACAGGGAGGGTCGGGGAGATGCTCATTCTTCCTGGCGAGAACCCACAGGAGCAGAGAATTCTGACCCATCCACTGATCAGAGGACAGGGCTCCACACTAGTTTACTATGGAACTTGTGTTTCTCCATGGCTGTGTAAAACTTACAAAGGGGTCTCCTAAGAAACTGATTTTCCTTAAGTGAGAATTCAAATTTTCAAGTACTCATCTTGATTACGGGACTAGAGCTGTACAGAGCACGGATTCAGACATGTGGACTCTGGGAACACTACAGGTAATCAGAGTCTAGTGTTACAGTTTAGGCTGCTGGGCCATTGGCCCCAGGCATGCACACGTGCACACGCGCACACTCTCATGTCTGTCGGGGCTACTTTTACTCATAGAACAAGCGTGTGCTATGTTTCTAGGCACCTTCCCCATGTACAGCACTGAACCAAGTACTGTGGGGGGAATAAAAAAGAGGAGGGAACATCTATCGAGCACCTACTGTGCACCAAGCACGATGACTGACATTTTCCTGTGAACCTACTGCTTATGACTATGCAGCGAAGAAGGTATTCTTACTCCTCCTTTATAGATAAGACAGGCTTGCGGACAATAAGGGGCTGGTCTAATGAAGCATAACTGGTAAGTCCGAATGGTTGAGATCTAGATATTGGTCTGACTAACTCCAAAGTCCATGTTCTTTCCACTTTACCACGTTGCTTTCCAAAAGAAGTGTTACCACCTGAAATGAACTTGAAATTCGCTGAGGGATCTGGGGGGCAAGCAAAATCTACGTACAGAATGAGCTTGTCCACAGTAGACGATGTAGTGGTGGTGATGGTGGTGCAGAGGGGGAGGAAAGGATGACTCTCCTCACCTCTTTGCTCAGGGATACACGTTCCTTAACTCCAGGAGGAAAACCAAGAAGACCCAGGATAGAAAGTGGAGCAAAAAAGGCTCTAAGAAGATATATATATATAGGGACTTCCCTGGTGGTCCAGTGGGTAAGACTGCATGCTCCCAATGCAGGGGGCCTGGGTTTGATCCCTGATAGGGGAACTAGACCCCACATGCATGCCGCAACTAAGAGTTCGCATGCCGCAACAAAGATCCCACGTGCCACAACTAAGACCCGGAGCAGCCAAAATAACAAAATAAATAAATATTAAAAGAAGATGATATAGGTGTAGATTTTTTTTTCCCATTCACTGCTGGGCCAATGGGAAGGTGAATTCGTATAACTTTTCTTTCTTTTTTTTTAATAGATTTATTTATTTTAATTTATTTTATTTTTGGCTGCATTAGGTCTTCCTTGCTGCACGCGGGCTTTCTCTGGTTGCGGCGAGGGGGGGCTACTCTTCGTTGCAGTGCGCGGCCTTCTCATTGCGGTGGCTTCTCTTTGTTTCGGAGCACAGGCTGTAGGCACACGGGCTTCAGTAGTTGTGGCACGCGGGCTCAGCAGTTG